ATTTTCTCTAAATTTATAAATCCTTACAACTCACATCTTCAAAGTATTTCTCTTATTGTCACAATCTTTCATTACATATTTTTTATTTGTGTAATTATGATTAAACAATGTATTATTATTTTCCGTGAATCAAATAATTTTTGCATTTCATGTTTGATTATTTTTATTTTTTTAGGATTTTTATTTATTATTTTTTTCATATAAAAAATGTTTGATTATCTTAATTTCAAGTGTTTAATTACGTAAATCTTTTATTTATTAAATAATTTTTGAAAAATTATTTTTAATCTCTTTTATTATTAATTTTTGTTTCATTTGTATACTTTTTCGGTTAAAACTATTTTTATTATTTTTTAACTTTTCAACTAGTTCTACATGTTATATTGAAAATTTTTATAAGATTTCAAAAATACTTTTTATGTTATCCTATTATTACTTATACGTATTTTTTTTTATGTAATTTTACTTGATAGTAAAATGTTTTTACGACCTACATTCGATCGTTTTTATTTTTTTATTATATAAAACATTGTTTTAATTATTTTTTATAATTATTTTTAATTTTAACTCATTTTTATAAATTTAATTTTATCACTTAAATTCTACATAAACCTTTTATTTATTATAATATAATAATTTCATGTCAATCTCATTTGATGAAAATATATTTTTAGATTTAAATTATTATTAGTTTAATCCTTAATTTTATTTAATTAGTTTATTATAATTTTTATTAGTGTATAAAAAAACTATTTCATCACAATCTAAAAGATAAATAAAAAACATTAGAAATATTTTTAAATTTGAATATTTTTTTATAATTTTTAAAAATATATTTTAGTTTTATCAATTTTATTTTATTAATATTTCTATAATTTTTTCAGTTATTTTATTGTATTTAATGTTTTGATTTAAATTTTATATAATTTTGGTTATTTAATGTATTCTTTAAATGTTAAATATTTGATAATATTGTGTTCTTTGATAAATTTAATTAATTAATATTGAATCAATATATATATATATATATATGTATGTATATATTTATCTAGTAGAGATGAAATAAAATAAAATAAAAGTTTCTCACCCATGAACCATGAGTATAAACTTTTATTTCGAACATAGAATGAAATAATAAAATTTATTTCCGTTCCATCCTAAAATATAAATAATAATTATATTATTTTTATGTGGTAAAAATAGAAATAAGAAATAGAATATATATATCATATATATTCTTACATACGTTTTCCCTCGTTAATACTAAAATGATTTAGTTTGATAGATGAAAATATTTTATTTAGGTAATTTAAAATAAAAAGATATATTTGGAAAGAAAACTTTAAATGCAAAATTGCATTTTAATATTTAACCGTAAAAACGACCATAGTTTAGATGATTCTAGATCCATTGAACCCACCGTTTTCTCCTGTTTCATCTCTCTCTCTCTCTCTCTCTCCTTTTAAAGCCGCTCATTCTTTCTCTGCAAGCAACAACGCGATCACTCTCTCTCTTCGCTACCGACTTAGCTGCTAGTTAAACCTGCGCGCTCCGCCAAGAAGGTTCTCTCCCCCCATCATTAGCTATTTCATTGTTTCCTTCTTTCATTTTGTTTTTCAATTTTCATTTTCAGAAATATTGGAGACTGTATGTCGTTCTAAGGTTTTACATTATAATCAATGTTATTTTCTTTGTCTCTTGTATTGAAAATGATTACTTGGAACCTATGCTTATAAGAATTAGGTTAACCATAGTAGCAGAGTGTTTTGGGAACTAAGTTCATTACTTGATTAGTTTACGGCCTTTAATAATGCTGACTGACTTTTGCTTGGAATATTTTGGGTCTTGAAGTATGTTTGTCTGAAATTATTTTTAAAATCAACTATCTCAAGAATAATGGTTTAAATCTGTATAGAACAGAATCTGAAAAATATGTTAAAACCATTATTTTTCTTAATTCTAATTATTTTTAGTTTATTTTTTTTCAATAGTTTTTATTTTTTTTACTTAGCTTCGTTCACTCCACTTTTCTTATGTAAAAGTTGGTTTTCGTACATTCAGATGAATTGATTATCTTAAAAGTAGTTTTCTATAAATTTATTTGAAGAATTTTAATATTGGATTTTATAAAATTGATTATTGGAATATATTCAATTTTACAGTTGCCAAACATATCCTATGGATTCCACAAAAGGGGACACTGGAAAACCTTCATTGGCTGCAAATGTTACTTCATGTCGAAAGAAGAAGAATGAAGAAGCCACTTTTTTGGAGGACATGAAAGATCACATTGACGAGTTTATTCATGCTTCTATGGATGAGCATAAAACTTGCTTCAAGAACACAATTCAGAAGGTTTGTGTTGTGTTGAACCTAAGCTTTCTTATCTGGTCCATTGTGTGCACCTCCTTGTTAACCTACATATTATGCGCTTTTGGTTTATTACAGATGTTTGGTATGTCCAAGGCTGTTGCAGAGAGGAACACCACTGACGCTGCCAAAGAAAGGAACACCACTGACGCTGCCAAAGAAGTTGAGAGTTCTCTGCCTCTTCAGACAACTTTGGAAGGTTAGTTTCTCGTTTGTTCTGAAGAAATAAATGGTCTGTTTCAGAAGCTCTCTCCAAGGAACTTGATATAAATAAGTGATAGATTAAGTTGGTTGACCATTAATTTCATGAAAAAATACCAAGGTACTCTCGTCCAGTAGGTTGTTCAGACTTGTCATTCAAATGGAGTGTGATAAGCACACATTGCTTGATGATACATTTTCCTTCTTTTTAGGTATTAATGGTTTGTCTCTGTTCAATGACTAAACAAAAACCTGTTTTCAATTCATTTATGTTTAGAGAAAATATTTTTGCTATATACTATTATTATTGACTTCAGAAGGAATGTATATATAAGGTCTTACCATTGACTTGGCAAGAACAATTATTCAACTGCAAGTCTATTACTCATTTGCTTGAGCATCAGTCAAACAAAAGATTGCAGATGGAGTTTTAAGAGTTTAATGGGGAGAGTGTTTTGAATATTTAAATCAAATAATCAATTTAAATCATTGTTCGCTAATTGAAAAAAAGGTTGACAGCAACTAACTCCCTAATCAAGGTGAGACACATAAAAATTGAGCATAGAAAATTATGTTAACTTTATTATATTGATAAGAATGGTAGGAACTAAATATTGAAAATAGAAAAACACTCTTTTCCAAGAGTTTCTCTTTTACAACAAATTTCATTTTTTCACAAAAACTAATGGTCAATCACCAAAATGAGCATCCCCTTGTCTTGTTCTTCTTCCCCTGTTTATATTTAACTAACACCTCAAAATTCTCTAAACTCATTAATTTTCTAACTATTGAGTGGTTGATTCTTCATGTTATCTTCAACTACAAGAAAGTAAAACTTGGAATCATGGGATAAGTCCTTCTAAAACAATACTCAATTCTTTCATATATTGCGAAATAGTAGTCTAACACCTCAGGCATCCCATATTAGAACGGAACTACGAATGGAGAAAAAGAATTAAAAGTTTTGTTGATGTCAGTTGGACACTGGATCTTCAGATTTCTAAGCCTGAAAATTAGAAGTTACATAGAACAACCCCAATCCTCCCCTCAAGAAAAAAGTCCAAGGAGCAACTAAAATTGTTGGCAGAGTTAGTAGAAATGTACTCAACTAAAACTAATGCAGCATATGACGAATGTGAAGCATATAGCTATCAGTAATTGCGTGGTATTGATAGATATATAATTTTAAGCATATAGGAATTTCCCATGTCGTTCTACCTAGTTTAAAACTATGGCTCTAGTAACCATTAGCATATTATACTATCAGTGAATATCAATTAAGTATTCTATTTATATTTTATCCTTTTTATTTTTTGTTATCCTTTATATCAGTTACCATATTTCTCAATCCTTGGTATTCTAATTACCAGGAGTGGCATCAAAGTAAAAATTAATATCACGTTCTATGAATACATTAAATATATGAATACGTGATCATACATTTAAACTAACAATGCTAGAAATATGTTATTATTATGCTGATTTTTCTGCGGATATTTCAGAAAGCCTTATTCATTATTTATTTTATTTATGATATACATTTAATATCTGAGTAAATATTTTAATTAAATATATTTTACAATCCATTATGATATATATTTAAGATATGAGTATATATTTTGATTTGAAATATTATCATAATCAATTATTAATTCAAAGATTTCTTTTATAATGATGATAAAATCTTCTTTGATATTATAATTTTTTCATTCTATAACAATATAACAATATAACAATATATAAAATTGATAGTACTCAAGGTGTCAATAAATGTGAATATGAAATAAAGGTCTAAAAAAATGGAGACTGTGTCCACTAGACTAAGATGGTTTTGAAAAAAAAAA